AGCGTTAATTGCCTTTCGTAGTACGGGTCAAGCAGGAAGTTATGCCTGACGTCACAAAGTTAATCCTGAAGTTACCTGGTTAAGCCAGTTACTGCACTTCATGGTAGGCAGCTGGGGAAGCCCAGAAGCGAGAGAAAAGTCTCAGCAAACCCGTCTCATAAGAGGAAGAAGAACGATAAACAAACAAGCACGACAGGAACAACCAACCCTGACGTTTACATGGTCATACAGTCAGAACTGTGTGGACTTTGTCCTATGATGGCATCATGATAACTGATGAACACAGATAATTACTATAAATCAGTCGTCCCTTCAGTGCCTCGGCCGCAACGTAAAATAAAAAGTCCCAAACCCACAAATGTGTGCATCACTTACCAGGTGACGTCAAATAAATCTGTGAGGGCTCAGGGTTTAGGGGGGACACTGACATTGGGCCCTACACTCTCCTTGGGCCCTCCTGATGTCCTTGAACTGCATCACAGCGCTGTGGACATTCTCATACATACATACTTTAATCCTACAGGTCCCCTGAATTGTGTACGTGTTTGGAAGTCCTCACAACCAGTGAAGGAAATGGAAAAACCAATATTTAATCAATACACATGTTCAACAAACAGAAACATGTAAACCATATATTGTAAATATAGGGAGAGAATATAGTGACTTTGCTGTTGTAAACTTTACTGTTATATTATAATATTCACTTCTAATCCTGTTCTGAATTATTAGTCAAAAAATATATATATATTTCACTTTTAGTAATGTAGTTGAGTAATAGTAAATCTGAACCGATAAGTGTAGTATCCATAACATCCTAACGATACCTATCCCTAAACAGTTTAACACTGCAGTTCGTCAAAAAGCACACATTTCACGCACATGGCGTCTCTGACATATCTAGTCTAGTTAATGTAACGTTAATCTGGATTATTTGCTGGAAAGGAGAGGAAACAATGCAGAGGACAGCAGAGCAGGTCAGAAGGAGAACATGCATTTGGAAGCTCAACAAGCAGCGTAATCAAGTGCATCATGAAGAAAATAATCAGCAGATCTCTGCTATCTCTGTCATTTTAAATAACTTTAGTATTTAAGGCCTGTGACCTACCTAAAAGTGTATTTGCTGGGAATGCAGGCAGTCTTAGTAGTATCTGCTGGAGACGCTGGCTGGTTGCACTTATTGATACTCCTAGCCTCAGTGGAATTGTTAAAAACGCTCGCCTCAACTTCCCACAAGCTCTGCATAATTACTGGAAACACTTGAAATTCCCAGTTCCCTTGGACTACCTTTCAGGAGAGCTCCACTCCAGATCCCTAATGGATCTGTTTATTTGCTGCTCTAATGCTTGCCAATAAACTCTGGAGGTTTAGGGTGATTTAGCACATTAACCACATACTGTGATTTGCTGAAGATAATTTTCTGAAACATGCTGTTGGTTTTTACCTTCCTCCCTTTCAGGCAGCAGGTTGGTTCTTCCTGCAGAAACTACCTGCATACAGTTTTGCGGTGCTCACATGGCGCCGCATGAGGAAACTCTTCAAGTGGCTGCTCAAAAAAACTCCCTGAAAACTCTTCCTGGTGGTGCGTTCAAGGACGCTTTGACGTCTAAGCTCTCTGAGTCAGCCTAACGGCAATGCTTTTGATAAAACAAATAAAATAAAATGATCTGTTTCACAGTGTTAACTTTGTGCTCTGGGTTTGGATGACAACTTGAACAGTGGCCCAAATCAACAGAAACCTGATGCTTTTGCTAGTCTTTGCTTCTCAAACAAACAGTTTGGTAATACTGTTTTTATTCAGTTCTATCAACCACTGTTGATCTAACAGACTTCCCAAATCAAGACTGTTTCAGAAGCTGTGAAATAATCCAGAATCTGTAACGATATTATATATAACAGTCAGAGCTTCAGATTGTCCTCTTTACAAAGAAGAACTCGAGCTGTGTAGTTTGTTTCAGAATATTTACTCAGAAAAAGGTAAAGGACAAACAGCAAATCACTCCAAACATGAAAAAAACGTCCGATCAGGCTTGAACTGTCCTTTAATCCTTGCTGGTATCAGACCACGATGGCTGTGTTCCAATATGAATGTGGCGGCTCCTTCACCACGTGCCTTCACCCTTCCTGTCCTCGTGTTTGTAGGCGAGGGAGGTTTGCGGGTTTGTTTGATGATGCTTCTAGGCTGTGGTTTGCTGGCTAATCTACTGCACAAACACGAGCATTCAGCCACTCAAACACAAAGCTACACATCGATTAGATAACAGGAAGCTACGGTGAGTTATTGTCTGACTGGATTAAGTGGCTGGCAGCTACAGAAAATAAGTGATACTGTGACATTAAAGGATCATAGTGTTTGATGTTACTTGTTAAATGAAGGTTTTACTGTTACAGAGACAGAGGTTGGATACAATTTAAAGGACTACACCAACGTTTTGGGAGTTATGACCGTTGCTCACTTTCTCTGATCTGATGAGTGTTTTGGCACTATCTCTGAAGCTGTTTACATCCGGCTTTAAAATGCATTTTGGATTTTAATGGGATAATGTTTAACCACATTAAAGTACAGATGTAAATGTACCCAAGAAGCACTGTGGCCCAATTGTGATCTGATCGGTAAAACCACCTCCGGAGGTGGTCAGGGTGACCACGGTGAAGACAAGTGGAAATGCAAATGTGTTGTCTAAGGCCCTGTCTACAGGTATTTTAAAAACCATGACTTTTTCTGTGCGGTTTCGGCCGTTCGTCCACACAGAAACGCAGTATCAGGGCACTGAAACCAAACATTTTTTAATACGTGAGGATTTTAAGAAACTCCATGCTCTTGGCAGCGCTTGACAGCATGTTTGGGATTTCATGTACATTTTTTTTTAAACAAATAACTCCGGTTATAAAAATACCCGTGTCCGTGTGGACTAGGCCTAACAGCATACAACAACTACACGAGCCAAAATACGTACGTATATCTAAAGTCTTATAAATGAACAGTCAAATCCAGAAAAATCCTGTACTTCAGTAAAAGTACAGAAATCTTTGCAAAATATTACTTCAACTTAAATTTCTACTTGAGTCAAAGTACATAAGTACCTGCTTTTAAAAACTAGTATCAAATGTAAGAAGTAAAGAAAGGAAGTAAGGAAACAATGCCAGGTGGAACTTAAATTTCAAATTCATTTTCTGGCTGAGCTGTTATCTCGAGCGGAAAACATGAGCTGTTTCTCAACACAGAGTTCGCCAAGTTCGGACTTCTTTACTTTAAAGCTCGGACTTGGCAAGTTCGGCTCGGGAGTACAATTTCTGAGGAACGGGAGCACACAGTCAGTCATTCAGCAAATTGGAACAGCCGGACGCGTTAGCCAACAGCCAACATTTGGAGTTTAAACAACTATATTCCCACATAAAAACTCTTAAAACTGCATTCCATGACACATGAACAGCAGCATTATAACTTACAGTTGTGATTTTGCATTCTGGGATACTTGACTATGTGAAGTCCACACAAGTCACCACCAACGCAGGATCGGTAAAGCGGGCGGAGCGAGAACACATCCGGGTATTTGACTGTACTTGGCTGGAAGCAGACTTCTGAATTGGAACAGTACTTGCTGCGACTATGGTGTATAATCCATGGAGGAAAACAAATCACGGTGGGAAGCAGAGTTATTTTAGTTATAGAGCAAACGAGAGGAGGACGTGACGTGCGGTTGTTTGAGCTGGACCGGGATCGGAACTCGATCGGATCTTAATGTGGACACTGAAGATGCATATTAAAACCAGGTGTAAACGTAATCAGGTAAAAATCAAATCCAGGTACAATGTGGATACGAGACGCATTTTAATGCCGGTGTAAACAGACTGTGATTCTGATGAGTGCTAACACTTTTAGCCACTTCGAGTAGCTCACTCTGCATTAGTCTTGTAAGAACTTAAAGTTTACTGACTTTTTTGGTCACTTGGGGGCAACAGAACAAGCTGAAAACATGGCATATAAAATCATTAAACTCTTAAATGTAAAATAGTTTTTTTGACAAGTTGCCAAAATGTCTTGGCCAAGCAGCAGCCTGAACCCCTGGTCACACCAGAAAGTGGCTGGGAAACTCTGCACGCCTTGGAGAAATATGTGGTTCCACAGGGCTGGTGATGTAGTGACTACTGCAGGTAGATGCTGTCAGTCACAATAGCTTCCTGAGCTAGCTAGTTAGCTCCTTGGCTAGATCGCACTAGAGACGATGGGTTCACATAGATGGATTCATCCTATCGACTCCTGTTTCAAAGCTGTCAAAGGCCACACCATGACAGCGTCCTCCATTTTTGACTCTCCAGCTCTTTGGTCAGAACTGTGGAGGCTGTTTGCTATATATAGTATGTTTCTTAACTATTATCCAAGGATGGTTAAAATCAAGGGCAACTGGACTGGACGTTGAAGATACAAGAAGATGTTTCGTTCCTCATCCAAGAGATTCCTTCAGTCCTGACTGACTAGTAGGGAAAGTCAGCTATTTAACCTCTGTGCGGTTGTTTGCCAAGAGCATCGATACGATACTGCTGATTCATTAGTGCTCCTGGCTGCTGTTAGAGTCACCTGAGTCCAAGTCTGAATGACGATCGTTGGTATCCTCACCTTGTTTGGTTTCCTGGGGAGTGATGAAAGGGTAGCATTGAATTGTCCACTTCTGGCCTCAGGTGAAGATGCCAAGATGCTTCTAGTATCTTCAACTAAGTGAAGCTGCCCTCGATTTTAACCTTCCTTAGATAACTATGAGCTGGATGCCTGAGAACCTTCACAGACATCTTAACTATTAGCAATTTTGGTGCCATTACTCTCATTACATAATTAATAAGGTGACCTATGGGCAAAATTACTAAATGTTCACACAGTCCATCAACTCTACAATGGTCTCCTTCCAGAATATTAACCTGTAGAACCGTATTGCAAGTCTCTTAAAAGATGAACTGGTTATTGTCAAGACAAACTGCAGTTTAAGTCACAACTATCTACTAAAAATCTACAGCAAATTACTCATTTGAGCTTGTACAAAGACTGCATTTCTTTTCCATGGTATTCAGGTTAAAACTCTGGAGTGACGCCGCTGCTCAGTGGGTACTGACTGTTCTGAGAATGTGCTGTGATAAATGTGCAGCTTGACAGAAACAAAACATTTCATGCAGAGTTAAGACATGAGTCCATTGCTAGCAGGAGATGAGGAGTTGTCAGGGAGGAGAGTGTTCGGGTTCACGGTTGGCCGTTGAGTTCCTGCCGACGTTTCAGAGCCTTGCTGACTCGGTTCTCCTACAGTCGGCTCCTCTAGAAGGTCAGCACTGAAACGGGGAGGACAGTTACTCACAACAGCAAGTTGGCAGGATCTGTTTGGTTCCAGCTTCATCCGGAGGGAGTCGCATGCAGGGCGGCACAGAAACAGAGAGGAGGAGGAAGACATGCAGACCTGCATGCGTGGAGGCGAGCAGAGGGAGCTGACATCACTTACAGTCGACCTCCAGGATGGCTCTGACAGTCCTAGTGAGCTCCTTCGCCTCCTGAACGAGCGTGGCTGAAGTCCAGGGACTCTTCTTGTAGCGAGAAGGGAGGCCTTGAGGCGACGCGCCGACTTTAACGTCTCCGGAGCTGTAAAAAGACAGAAGGACGAGTCAGCCGTGAGAAACGACCACCACCACAAACAGGAGGTTCCCGGGAGAGTCCAGGGACCCACATGATCACAGGCCTTCGTGGATGCGGCCTAGAGGGGTTCACAATTACTCATTTTTACCAGTCACAAGTTTTTGCCAAATAAAAAGTCCCTCCGGGAATTATTAACACAAATTAAACAAATCCCGGTAAATACAGAGCAACTTGCAAAAACAATCAATGCAACTTTTCCACAAATGTGACCCATCATCTCCGTTTCCTGCAAAACGTGTCACATTTACCTACAGCAATAAACAGCAAAGGGCCGTGAAGACCAGTATCCAGATCTTCTTCACCAAAGGGTGGAAACTGTTCTGAAGAACGTGCAGTATCGCGGTCGAACATAAAGGAAATCGTCTACTGACAAACACTTTGCTGCCCCAAAACATACAGAGAGAATGGCAGAAACACATGGAGGACGTCAGACGAGACACTGAGACACAGGCTGCTGCATCCCGGTCAGCTGTAAGGGTCAGGGTCAGGGTCAGGTCCGCCAAGTCCTGGAGGGGGTGTTTAATGATTCAACTACAATTCTAAAAACATCACGTCTACATTTGCAGTTTGCACTTATTTCCACAATTTCATCACAAAAAGACGCCGCAAAACAGCACAACATTGCAATTTTTTTGAAAAGCTGCCGCATAGCAAACAATGCTGTGAGATCCTGGAGGGACTGCTTTAGTTTTTTGTGAGGGACTGTCCTGACTTTCTTTCATCTTTATTTCTGAACACATGAAGCCAAATCTTTGCCTCTTCAAATAACGGCTGGTGTGTGCCGAGTTGATGAAACAGAGATTAGCACCTGTTGAGGAGAGCCTCTCCTGCTGGCTCAGTGGTTTGGAGGAGCGAGCAAACGATCTCTGCACCAACAGCTTTTAATAACACTCATGAGGCCGCTTGTTAATGTGGGTTACTGCCTGATGAATTAGCTCACACCTCCAGTTCTTTGAATGATCGAGAGAGCTAATAACACTTTGTAAAGCTGCTGAAGTGTCCACGTCACCATGGTTGCAGCTGTTATTCACTCTGACAGCGCTCACTTCACCCCATCAGCCAACACCGAGGTCATCCCAAACACAGACAGCATGAACGCAGCTTTCTGTTTTATTATTTGTTTCTGGAAGCTACCGGTCTCACAGCTCCTAAACATATTACCAACACAGTGAAATGTGCTGCTCCTTGTCTCCTGAGGGATAGTTTCTTTATTACAGCGCTGAAGTCAGGAAGACTAATGGCTTTAATGAGAGTGATACTTAGAGGGATCAAAAAAGTCATTAACTGGGAATGAATGAGCAGCAAAGAGACATTTATTATAACAAAGTGGAACGCCTCATGCATGCTTCCCTCAATGAACGCCTGGACAGCCAGCCTACATTTCCTCTTACGAGTGGCCTAGAAACAGATGAACAGACAGGTGAATAAAAAGAAAAAACGACGGGGGGTCTTGCGGTTATGAAAGACGAGTCCAGGTGTCCCACTGACCTGGTGTGAAATAAAAAGGAAAGCAGGCAGCAGGTGCTGGGTGACTTCGCAACATGACCGCTTGACCTGGTTTACAGAACCTGACTTACACAACTGGCAGGAAGGCACCAATAACTCGATAGATAAGGAGAGGAGGCCACATCGCAGGCAGACCCTGTTTTTATACGGCGGAAAGTAAAAATCCTACTTTAAAAATGTAACAGAAGAAGAAGTAAACGATTGTTACTGCTAACGTGTTCTTAGGTACACAAAGACTAAAGCACAGATGGATCTTTGTCAAGAAAAATCCTTGTATCCGCAGGTTTCTCATCAAAACAGAAAGGAATGAAGGAAGGACAGAAAGGGGAAGCATAGACTGAATCAAAGACAGAAGGTAGGAAGAATAAGGGAGGAAACATAGAAAGACAGGAAGTCGGGAAGAAAGCATAGATAGAAAGGAAGGAAGGAAGCATAGAAACACAGAGAGGAAGCATAGAAAGGGCCTTCCAGAAACCGCTCCCTCCCCATCCCTACCTACTCCCACTCCGTTTGAGAATTCATGCGGAGGGTCCGCCACATTAAGCGCCATCCGAAACCAACGATAGCGGAGTGGTAGTGGGTTTTTAAACCCTCCAATGCCGCGTCAGCACCATTGTTGTCTACGCGGTTTAGGGAGCTAGATTTGGCTCTGAGGGCGACTCCGACCAGAGCTCACTCCGTGTCAGAGTGGAAGTGGCGAGGGACACAGAGGAAGTGCGGAAGGAGGCATAGAAAGAAAGCAGGACCACTGAGAGTGTGTAAACTGGGCTAAAGAGCTCCGCCCTCTGCAGGATCTCTCATTACACGATTCAGACGATCGGTCACACACTTTCACATAAAGCAGCACAAACAAACACAGAATTACAGTCTCTCTCCAACTACCTGTAGCTCTTCGTTGGTCCGTGACTTTCGAGCAGGAACTCTTGAACGTTCTGCAGACACACAAACAAAATATGTTCCACTTCTGTGTTGTTCTTTGTTGCAGCGATGATTATTACATGAACTATAATCCTGCTGGAAGTGAAGTATCTCTTCAGCTGAAGGTCAGACGTTCTTTGAAGTTCACGTCTGCTGTATCTTTATTCTTTTTGTAATGCAGATATGAATCAAGAACACACATTTTAGTTAACGCCATCCTCACTGTGCCGGCAAAAAATATTTGTCTAAGTAAAAATCACAAGTTTGGTTTAATTCAAATCTCATGTTTGGACCCAAACCAGCAACCAGTCAGTCCATCTCTCAGTCACTTCCTGTCTGTGGCTCTCAGCCCCGAGCCCATTGGTTCCTCCTGAAGATGTAAATCTTTACAAACACCTCACAGACGTTTAGTTTTATATTTAAAAAGGCTCAGTAATTTCCTCATTAGCAGTGAGTCTCACGGATGGCTCAGAGGACGAGGAGACATCGGGCTGGGAGACACTCAGGACTCCTTAAAACTCTGGTTTGACTCTTTACCTCCACAAAACTCAGCAGTTTTCCCGTTGACATCTCAAAGCCCCTTTTGGCCACTTCGCTCTTCCGTAGTTGACACTCCAGGACGGCCACTCTCTTCTTCAGCTCCTCCGTCTCCTCCTGGGATGAAGACAGAACAACAAGGGACACATTTTGTTCAGTGTTTCTTCCCTCTCTGGTTAAAGTTGTCCTTTGTGTTTTACAGTTACAATAGCGTGGACAGGAAACCAAAAACAGCTAAAAAGAAGGCACTACAGCTGATTTCTGCTCCTGTCCTGTCCAGCTCCTGACAACAGAATCAGAAAATGTTTATTCATGTTTGAACTGAATATTTGTAGAGAAAAACAGACGTTTGATTTCTGTCTCACGCGTTGACTTTTTTTCCTGTCTCGCCCAGTCTTGTGATGACTTTTGAAAGACTCCCATCCCACAGCAATCCTGTGATTGGTCAAAAAATATCAGCCTCTAAAAACACACCTGTGCTCCCAACATTTTAATCTAACAATACTGAACTGAACGACCAAACATTCCTCGTGACAGGGAAAAAAGGACAAACAAGATGTAACATATTTCTACTTCTCTGTAATTTTAGATTGCCCTGCCTTTATAGACGTGTGGCTCTGCAGGAACTTAAAGAGTAAACGTAATACGCATTGAGGCGTGTTTGCTGTGGCTCAGGATGCAGGAGGTGGAGTCTAAGGTTGGTGGTTTGATCCTTGGTCAGGCCAGCACCTTGCACTGTAGCTCGCCATACATGCAGTCCATCTTCCACCTCAGACAAGCTCCTAGAATTACCTGCGAGCTCAGGATTAAACCCAAGTTCCAGGTATTTGGATAAATGGAGCAGGACAGCCACAACTTTAAAAAAGAAGAAGTGAGGTTTACGTTAGGCGACAGATTCTTTGTCTCGTTGCTGTAAAATAAATATTTCAGTAAACTGAAAACTGGAAGACTGGATTCTGGAGTAGTCGGCTATTTATGTTCCAGGCTGACTGAGATGATTTTGACCTTGGTAAGATGTGAAGTTTAATATGAAATTTTTTGAATGAAATTGATTAAAGCAGTTTGACATTTCAGGAAATACGCTTCTCTGAACTAGGGGTGGGAGAAATAATCGATTCTCAGATGCATCACGATGCGGACGTGGAAGATTATGAATCGATTAACAAATGTCTAAAAATCGATTATTAAAAGTTAATTGATAACATAATGTTGATAGAACGCAAAAGGAGGTTCGTGGAAGTGTCAAGCTAACATCTGCCCTGTACAAGGGCTCTCTGTCTCCCACACCAGACTCCAGAGCCTTCAGCCATCCTCTGGATCTTATCCCCACAGAGTCTGGACACTTTCAAAGATCTACTAAAAACCCAGCTCTTTACCAAGGCTTAAAATCCTGAATGACTTTATATTGTTCTGTTACTGTAACTATGTGTAAACTGGTATACAGCTCTGTCCTGTACACATACTGTAGACTATATCCTGATAATTAACTTTATATGACCGTTTTCAGAGGAGTCTGGTTGTTAATGAAATGACGGACCATGATGAGGTTAATGAAGTAAATGTAGGAGAAATTAAGTCCTTTTAAGCTAATATGGAGATGTTTCTTTTGGATTTTAATGTGCAAATTAAAAGCTTAGTAATTATCCAGGGATCCTGTATAGAAAAAGTTATGCATCAATAATCGCAGCCCTCTGAATTGTAATCGAATCGAATCGTGAGGTGCCCAGAGATTCCCACCCCTACGGTTTCTTTAAAGGAGACATAAGGATTGTTTCCAGTCTTTATGCTAAGCTAAGCTAACCAGCTTCTGGCTGAAGCTTCATGTTTACTGTCCACACAGGAGTGGCATCAATCTGACTCTCAGCATTTGAAAAGGGACTATTTCATTGATCAGGTTAATCATTCATCTGAAAATGTTGGTTTCAGAGTCTCAGATTTATTTATAATTTTTTATTTACCCTTTATTTCAACAGGAAAGTCCCATTAACAACACAAGCTCTTTACTTTGGGCTCTTTTTGTTTCTAGACTAAACAATTGATTCAGAAAATAATTGGCAGCTTAACTGATGATGAAAATAATGTGAAAAAAGTAACCAGCAGCCTCAGCCGTCACGTACTGGAAACGCTGAGGAGCAGAAATAAAATATTTGCTGGAGGAAATTACTTCTGTTAAATGATGTCTTGTGAGTGTGGACACAATAGATTGACTCTCAGAGGATTTCTCCGTGAGTCAGCATTTCAACGTGTGATAATATTCTCAACGCAGCAGAGAGGGGCTTCTTCCTCTCTGCTGCTGTGTTAAAGCTGACACCGTGCAGCGTCGGCTCAGCTCGTCCGCTCGCCGTCAGTAGCCCGCCGGTGCCGAGCTGCAGGCTGCTGTCAGACTTTTGTAAAAATAACCTGACCCAGATTCACGGATGATGGAGGAAGAAACCAAAACCTGGAGGGGAAGGATGAGGGTGCAGGGGCAGCACAGCCAGTGAGGGATTCTGGGAAATCATCAGGGAGATCACTGGGAAGGACACTGCAAAAACCTCATCCTGCAAACAAACCAGATATCTGTTAGCATCAGACCAAACACAGAGCGTTGGCGTAGTGAGGGTCTGTTGCAGAAGCTCGGTCAAAACATGCAGGGCCATCTGACAGAAAGATGTCAGACATGTTTTCATCCATCCATTGGATGAAAACAAACTCAAATGCCATCTTAGATGAGAACATCAGTGGAGTCTGGTCTGTTGACTATATTTAGATAAAGGCAGTTCCATCCATCCATCGTCAACCGCTTATCCTGTGTACAGGGTCGCGGGGGGCTGGAACCAGTCCCAGCTGGCATCGGGTGAAAGGCGGGGTAGAAGACCCCGGACAGGTCGCCAGTCCATCACAGGGCCACACATCACACTCACACCTCCGGACAATTTAGGGTCACCAATCAACCTGGGCCGCATGTCTTTGGACGGTGGGAGGAAGCCTGAGCACCCGGAGAGAACCCACGCAGACTCGGGGAGAACATGCAAACTCCACACAGAAAGTCTAAACAGAGCTTATTTTTCTGCTGAAAACGTCCTGCAAATTGTCAAACTTAAGCTACTTCTGCAGAAATGTAGGCCTCATGATCTCTGACGAACTGAAGACACCAGCCAGTCATGTTGGTCACCTTATTGGTCGGCACTGGCTGCTCCGCTCTCTGAGTCTTCAGCTCAGCGATCTCGGCCTCCAGCAGGTGGATCACCTCCTCGTAGTCCATCTCCATGCCCCTCGCCTGCTTCTGAGCCGCCTCGGCCAGCTGGATCCGAGCCCTTAAAGCCCGACTCTCCTCTGCTCCGACTTTTACTTCCTACCAAAGAGTAAAGAGGAAGGGGAGAGGATGAAGGAGGGAAGTGAGGGAGAAAAGAGGAGCGTTTCTTCATCACAGCTCAACAAGTGAACAGATTACTCAGCAGAGGATCAGCCTGCGTGGTGCGTTCAGAACCCGCTCAAAGCTTCTTAACCTCATAAATCTTTGAAGGTGCTGAAGTCATGATTTTGACTTCTCTGTGTCAGGGTGAATAAGTGTGATGAAGCTCTTTGCTTTCACTGGATCAGCAGGCTGGACAGTCAGGACCCAGCAGGACTCGCCCGGACCTGCCACCGCTCAGCATGTTTCTATCCTTGATAAGGTCGCCAACGTTCGAAAAGCAGCACCACTAATCTAAAACAGGGACGACCGATGTTTTTAATTCCTGCTGATCCTACTGAGAATTCACTAAATTATGGAACATATTTTAAAAGATAAAAGTGTTAACGTAGTGGTTTTTTTATTCTCACTAGGTTTATTTCTTTCCTAAAATGTATTTTAAGTCTAGTTGGGTGTTATCCATGCATGCAGGGACACAAAGGAGCACTAATACAAGGAATGTACACTTAATAATTAAATACCTGCATACCCTTTATCACAAACACAGACAAGATGTGCCAGCAGCTGTCCCAAGTCTACACAATATACAAAAGTCAAGTGTTTTTGCACATGTAGGGCTCCCTGGTCAAGTTAGCAATAATAACTATGCAACGTCCTGTTACTAATTTCAAAATAAAACTAGTAGTTAATGTTGTGAGACATTGCAATTTGGTTAGATTTTTGCACCAAAACTACTAGGTTTGGTTTAAGATCGTGGTTTGGCTTAAAGAGGTGGTATTCTGTTTTTTGCCCTTTTCCCTCTTCTTTATTGAGTTATAATCTTTTTTGTGCTGTAACAGGTTTGCAAAGTGAAAAAGCCCAAAGTCCAGCCCCAAAGGGAGTTCCCATCTCCTACAGAAAACTTTGCTCTGAACAGCCGCTTCCCTTTCATCCCTGTGACGTCAAGCTAAACGCGCCTCATATAACGCTCGCCAAGTGGCTACTTACGACACGCCCTCAGAAACAGCGAGCTGCAGCACACAGCTCTCCTCTCCCTTCCAAACACTAGCTACCCTCCAGGCAGTCAGTGGACATAAAGTTGTTCCTGTGATGTAGAGACAGAGCTCAGTTAAAACTTTATGGATACAGATTAATAACTCACCGCTCTGAAACTCTCGCTCCAGTCCGTGTTGCCGAGCCGGTCGGCAACACGTACGGCTGAACCCGAGCCGTTTACCGGCTTCTCGCCGACCCGCCCTTCTCTGCTTCTGATTGGCTAGTAGTCCTTAACTAGGAACTGAGCATGTGCAACTCCCAACAAAGATCATTTAGAGACAAGATGTATCACTCCATAGCTAAAACGAAGCCTTCAACACAGGCTGAAAAGAGGAGCTGCAGCAATGTGTAGTAGGACAAACATAACCATGTAAACCTGCTCTGGTACAAACTCTAAATAAGATGATGAACCTGAACATGAGCAGAATACCAACTCTTTATAATAACAACATTTTACTTGGCCTTTTCTCACATAAGTTAAGTAATGTTACTTCCGTAACTTACGCAACCTAAGTAACTTCAATAAAAAAAAAGCCAATGTTGACTTCTGTTTCACATGGGAAACGAAAGTTTCTGGCACCAACCATCCACACCATCCACCTCCTTACTCCTGACCTTTCTGTTCAATATTCTACACCAACCTTTGGCGTTCAAAAATGACGCTGCGGGGCTTTACCCAGTGCGTTGACGACTTGAGAGTGAGATTCAGTTGGCAGTAATGCTAGCAAGCAGCTCTGTGAGGCTGGACACAGCAGTGCTTTGAGCCAAAGGCTAACGTCAGCATGCTGATGTTCAGCACGTATAATGTTCACCAACTTAGTTTAGCATGCTAACACGGCGTACAGCTGAGGCTGATGGGAATGTCATTTGCTCGGCAGGTATTTGGTCATAAACCAAAGTGTTTGACACATTAATAATTGTTGAAATCAACCAAACTGGCCGTAATCAAAAAGATCTACGCATCCAGTGTGGCTAAAACACACTATGCCCCCCCAGTCTGTCAGAGCACTGAGCCGTGCACTAACTGCAGGGGCTGTCTATTTTTTTTATCACTTGAATGCATTATTTCAGTCAGGGTCCTCACAAGTGCAGAAAATTCTTGTGTGTGTGTAACAGAGCGTGAGGGACCCGGCCAAAGAGGTCAGACCTGAGAGACGACCTCTTACATAACACCCCCGGGATCACTGGGCGCTCTAAACCTCATCCTGATGCAGACCTGACCTGAACAGCTGGCTGGGGATCCTGCAGCCTCCAGGGGCCCGGCACAAACTCACAACGTCAGCGCTCTCTTTCTGAGTCCAAGGTGACGTCTTCAGATCACTTGTTTTAGTCCGATCAATAGTTAAAACCCCCATAATACAGATTACACTGATGCAAAACAGAGCAACTAATCCTCACATTACAGAAGCCAGAGGCAGAGAATGTTTTTCTGCTCCATGAATGACTCGTGGTAAACGAGTAAACGATTATAAGAATTAATTTCCTGTTAATAATTAATCATAAATTAAACATTAATCAAAATTTTCATTTGTGCCTCAAGCAATTCAGTTTTTAAACAGGTAAGACATATATAGCCAAATAGGCAGGATGCCCAATCTAATCCGTAGCAAGGTGCGGGTGTCTGTATCTGTATCTGTCTGTGGTTATCACAATGCAATGCCTATGTGATTGTGTTGCAAACTAATTTTCTACGGGAACCAGCAGGTAGTCATAATATTATAGCTGATTGGTGTATATTAAAATGATAATATCTATTATTTTGTCCAACCTGTTCTCATCGCAACTTGTCACATATGGATGTTGGTCAAGACCCCTTGGCATCCCTTTTAAACGCCCTGGGTAACCTTTAGCGTGTTTTTGTATGTGTAGGGCTCTGCAATCAAGTTAGCAAGAACATATAGACTTTCAAAATAAAACTATTGGTTATGTTGTAAAACGTCGCAGGTTTGTTTGGTTTAGGCACCAAAACTGCTTGTTTATGTTCAAGTAAAGATGGAAGCTTTGGGTTAAAATAGCTACATGACTTAACTAAAAAGAATCAACGTTGACTTTTTGTTTTACAAAAGGAAACGAACACTGTTCTCCTGGATGAAAATCCGGTTTCTGATCCACCCTTCCATCCACCTCCTTACTCTTTTCTGTTTAACAATGATGTTAAAGGTCTTCACAGCAGGCCACAAGCTGATGCTGAAGGTCTTGACCAAGTGTCCATGTGTGACGTCTTGTGAGTGAAAACCGGTTGTTATTTTTTATTCTCTGGGTGTTTGAATTACTATAAACTCCAGTTAACTGTGTAGAAGGTGGTGTTGGAAACCAGCAGTTTATCTCCAGTCAGTCTGTGAGGCCTTCAGAGTGGAAGTTACATAATTCTCAGGGCGGTGAAACCGACACCCGCACAATACGATACTGCAACCCCACTTGACTGGGAAACAACCACTCCCAGTACTGTTGGCACACTGGCAACCAGTAACTCTAACCTCCAGCCCTGAAATAAACACTGCCCACAGACGGTAAAGTGATCCTCAGAGGTAATAAAGGATACGAGGCTGGACAAAAGGAGTGAGTTATGAACACAGGAGGCACCGCTGAAGAGAACTCGGCACAGAGATGGAAACACTGCGGTGAAAGTATTAATACCATTATTTAACAATTTACTGTGCAAGTACAACTGCTGTCCACATACTTTTGTATATTCGTTTCACTCTGACCTGGTTCAGGCCTCTTAATTCAAATATGTGGAACTTTTAATGCAGTTTAAAACTCCAAAATCTATTAAGCGTGCTCAGTTTGAGGTTCAAATTCGTTCTTGATGTTGGAAGCAGCAGCTGACAAAACAATCTCAGCACCAGACCCATTCGGTAGCTGTTCTAGAGCTTTCCATAATATCCCATCCTCAGCAGATGGAGTCATGAAACTGTAGATTATTGAGACATTTTCTCCTTTTTGACAAGATGTTATAGATGTTTTAAAAGTTTTCTTATTGTTAGTAGATAACAAATGATTCATTGTTTTTTTAGAAACATTTCTTTTAATAGTGACACATCCCTTTATCTTGTTATAGTACTAAATGTTATAGTTCTGGTACAAAAACCAACTTTTCTCATTATCATGATGTGTCCAAGTGTAACAACAAGCTGCACACAACTCTATTAAAAAATGGATTAATTAAATAATATTTGTACTTTTAACACACACACACACCACACACCACACAACCACACACAGTCTTTTTCTTGGAACAGTAATTTGCAGTTTTTTTAATTGCATGCTGCCTTTGTGGGAAAAATGAAAGTAACAGATGGACTGTTCTCACTCCCTCTGTTTATGTGTGTAATGTCCTGTTAGCTCTCGCTACATATGACAGCACCACAGGAGAGGCGAGGCCGCCAAAATCACTCCTGTCTGTTTCCCTTTGTGCTTCATACGTGTGAGTGTGTGTTGCATGTTTTTATCCCTGTGGGGACTTGAACTGATACACACTAACTGATGGGGAAATTTGAGCTCGGGCAGAGATGCTGTTTGAGGGCCAAGACTTGGTTTTAATGTTTAGTTAGGATCAGTTTAGGGTTTATAAAGTTAGGCGTGTCGTTGTGATGGTTAAGGTTAGGATAAGGGGATAGGGAATACATTATGTCATTCTGATGTCCCCATGGGGAAACAGGAACTACTCAAGTTGTGGGAAATCTGTTTATGCAGTCACATCGTGGCGGTGTATGCGATTACATTATAGGGTGAATTCTTGGGAATAAGTACCTATCCCCAGTGAAAAAGCTCAAGTATATTGGGGTCTTGTTCGTGAGTGAGAGGATAATGGAGCAGGAGATTGGCTGGAGAATCGAAAAAAAGCAGCTGCGGTATTGCATTCGCTCCATCGCACTGTTGTGACGCTAAGAGAGCCGAGCTGGAAGGCAAAGATCTCGATCCACGGGTCAATCTACCATGTTCCTACCCTCACCTGTGGTCGTGATCGAAAGAAGTAGATCGCGGGTACAAGGGCCAAAATAGGTTTTCTATAGAGGGTGTCTGGCTTCTCCTTAGAGATGGGGTGAGGCTCAGTCCTCCGTGAGGAAGTCCGAGTTGAGATGCTGCTTTGCATCGAAAGGAGAAAGTTGTTATTTGGCTTAGAAATGTAGTTAAAGTAAAATAAAAAATTACAACTACTTGAAATACTCGAGTAAAGTACTAATCCAGAGAAAAACTACTTAAGTAACAAGTATTTGTACACCCTCTGGATACTGAAGGTGTTCAAAGCTGATTATCCCGTAATAATTGATTGAACTTATAGGGTTATTAAGTGGTTAAAAAAAGTGCATTTAGTGTTAAGCTACTCTTGAATGTACTTAAAAAGAAAATGACTGATCTGCAGCTCTGCACTTCACTCTCGAACTCTGAGCCGTCCTCGTCTCCACACCGCTTACTGCATTTCTGCTGAAATTCTGTTTTCAAATGTAAACTTTGGAGTGGAGTTTTATATTATATATCATTATATATTATATCGTCCACCGTTAGTAGGAAGTGGTCCAGTACACAAATGTTTTGTAAGAAAATAGGTATGTGTATTTTATAAAGTCCCTGTCCAGAGCTGACGTAACAAAGTGCTCCACAGAAGAGCAATTAAAGATGGAAAAAGAGACGTGCAGACATCAAGCTGAAACTATAAAAAGAA